GGCAGGGCACCTCCCTGCGCTGCCCCTCGCCACGTCTCCCCTCTGCTCCCTCTCAGGCCGACGAAGCGCAGCGCCGACAGGATGCCGCCATCTGGGAGCTGCTGTCCAGCTTCGCCTCCCCGCGCGGCACGCTCCCACCCCCTCCCCATGCCCGCCCTCGCGCCCTCCTAGCTGCTCTGCCTCCCTCCTCCTCTTCCTCGAGGGCTTCTTCGTTCCCCTTAGCGGCTCCGCTCAGGTCTGACCCGCAGGTACCGCTCCAGCTGTGGGTGCGACATCGCTGCTCCCCGCCACCCGGCTCTCAGGGGCCAGACCCCCTCCCCTGACTCCCCAGCCCCAGCCGCTCCCCCTCGCACAGGCACTTGGGGGCGTCCCAACCCTGCCCAGACCCCGCGTCTGACTGCGGCACGCCCTCAGCATCCCCAGGCCTGGCTGCAGCGCAGCATCGGTGCCTGGGCATCTTGGCTGGCACAAGTGCCATCAGCCGCTTGCTCCCGCCATCCCACCCATGCCCTTCCCAGGAGACAGACTCCTAGAGCCCCCCAGCTCCCCATCCCCTGCCCGTGGGATCCGTGCTCCCCAACCTTGGGTCGCCAGCATCTGCCCTCCTGCTTGAGGCTTTGATCTGCAGCCCTGCCCTGACTGCTAAGCCCTCCCTTGCTGTCTTCTCTTGCCAAAGCCCCAGCGCAAAGGATCACCCAGACTTCACTCCCTGGAGTCCAGCAACCTCCTGTCCCCCCGAGACCACGGGGCTGACGATGCTGGCAAGGTACCGAGCCTTGGCCTGCCTGCTGAGTGCATGCCTGCCAGAGCAGGGAGGAGGCAGAGACCTTTCGGGGGGTGCTGGGGAGGCTCTTTGGAGGACCTGAACCCTCCCACGGGGATGCAGAGCCTGTGCTGTTGGCCCTGGGCTGTCCTGCCCCCATCTCCCAGCCCTGACGGCTGCTGCTCCAGGGCCGTCTCTGCCCTGGGCTCAGAAAAGCAGGGCTTGCCTTCAAGGCTGGAGAGTGGATCTCTTCCTAAACCCAGGCTTCTGGGCACAGGGGTCAGCTCAGAGGCCCTGTCTGCTGGCAGCCCAGGTTCAGCACGGGCAGCCTGCCACCCACCTGAAGGCAATGGCTCGGTGAGGGCAGCGGGTAAGCACAGATGCTTTGTAGAGGCCAAGCCAGGATCATAGCAAAGGCAGGCTGGTAGGGCCCTTGGGTCACCTCCCAGCCCAGCCTGAACCATCCCAGCCACGTACATGAGTCCCCAAGCCTCGCCGAGCAATACATCCCAGGGCTCCACCAGCCTCTTCCTAACATCTACCCCGAATTGTGGACACGGGGACCAGTGGATCGTCCTCTTGCAGCAGCGCCATTGGTCTTGGAAGACTGTTCTCAGATCACCCTGGGCTTTCTCTTTAAATGAACTAAAAGTAGAGCCCACGATGCTGAGGAGCGTGGAGGTTGTGGGTGCCAACCTCTTCATCCCCGTTGAGCTGGGAGTCACCCAGGGGGGTGACTGACCCCCAGTATAAAAGCTGAAGGAAGTGGAAGCAAGACCTTGCTTGAATGGAAGCAGGACTGCCGTAGTCCCTCCTCGACCCGTGGCAGGTTCTTGTGTTGTGTCAGGGGTGTCGGTAGTTTTACAAAGAGGTTAACGGATGCATCAAGAGACTGAACAGCTTTCATGTGAGATGTCTGCCTAAGATCCTGAAAATAAAGTGGGAAGACAAAACGCCAAACCCAGAGGTGCTGCAGCGTGCAGGACTGACACACTTAGGAGCCGCTGTCAGGAAGATGGGTCGGCTGTGCCGGGAGAATGGGAGCAGACCGTATCCCCAAGAATATTTCGTGCAGGGAGATTGAAGGCCGCTCTAGAAGTGGAATTGCCGTCCGTGGTGGTGCCACGACGTGGGCAAAAATGATACGAAGTCGTTCACCATCAACGTAGGAAGAGCGCGCAGAATCCCGGCGGATCCGGAGGGAACATCTGGCACTGGCGGCAGCTCAACACAAACTGGTTTTGATGCAGGGGATGGGAGCCAAGCAAGAAAAGGAAGCAGCGAGCTGTAAACTTGGACTCCAGCTCAGACAACACCTGGATCTGAGATGTGTAACACACTGTGTCACACTCAAACCGGCCTTGTCGGCCACCAGTGGAGTCCTCGGGCCTCTGACGAGACCTCTCTCATGTATCCGGAGGACCGACGGCTGCCTCTAGGTGATGGATGTGCCTGGGATGGTTTGGACCGGGATGGATAGAGGTTGCACCAGATGGAGGTCCCTTCCAGCCTGACTGCTCTGTGCTGCAATGAAGCAGGGTGCAGGTCGGCAGGGTGCAGGACAGCTGGCACTGCGTGGCCAGTGGTCACATATAAGCAGAGACCCTGCATGGGAGCATGCTGTGAGGTCCACGGAGTGTCCCAGGGGGATGCATGCTTCTGGGGCTGGTGGCGGAGGGCCAAACAGGGAGCGGTCTGAGAGCATGCGAGCCTGCAGCAACCCAGCGCCCTTACTAACCCCTCAGCTGCCGGCCCCAGGGAGGGGGACCGGGCTTGCCTTGGCTCTGGGAGCTGAAGGAGCCATCTGGAGTGTGTCTGGTTTGCTGAAGTGCCTGGCTACGTGTGCACCCGGCGTGGTCCTTGGTTTCCCCTCTGCCTGGAGCGGCTCAGAGGTTTCCTTCGCGGTCTGGCCGCAAAGGGACCCACAGGAGGAGAGGAGTTTCCCAGGCCATGGCTCACTCTCTAGAAATGCGCCTGATGTCCTGTGAATCACTGTGGCCGGAGAGCTCCCCGAGCCATGCCAGCTAGCACATCTCTTGTGGTCAGACTCAGCCTCCCCCAGTCGGGTTGACGTGGAGTGTCTGACCCAGGCGGCTCCATCTGGAGGCCCTCTCCCAAGGAGCAAGATGTGGTTAGCTCTGATTTCCCAGTCAAGACTTCCTTGTCTTCTGGGCCTTGCCGGAGTCACTCGCGGACATCCCCCTGCACGGGTTGGCATGATGCTGGGCCTTGCCGTGGTCATTCGTGGACGTCCCCCTGCATGGATTGACATGACTTGCTGTGGTCACTCATGGACGTCCCCCCACATGGGTTGGTGTGATGCTGGGCTTTGCCATGGTCACTCACGGATGTCCTCCTGCACAAGTTAGCGTGATGCTGAGCCCTGCTGTGGTCACTCATGGACGCCCCCCTGCACGGGTTGGCGTGACTTGCTGTGGTCACTCATGGATGTCCCCCTGCAGGGGTTGGTGTGATTTGCTGTGGTCACTCATGGATGCCCCCCTGCACGGGTTGGCGAGACTTGCTGTGGTCACTCATGGATGCCCCCTGCATGGGTTGGTGCGATGCTGTGACTTGCTGTGGTCACTCGCAGACCACCCCCCCTGCGGGTTGGCGTGATGCATAGCTTGTCACCAGCAAGGTGGGTCAGCTGCGGACCAGGGGCAAACCTGCCCATGGCTCTCACTGCTTACCCTCTGGAAAAAGGCACCCCTCTCCCGCACGTATCACCGTGCCAGCCCGGGAGCGAGATGTCCGGGTGTGTATAGCAGTCCCCAGGGGCAGTGCCGCACAGTGTGCACCTCCCTGCCAGGCCAGCACCACGCGCATATTGCTGGATGCTCTCCCGCCGGCTCCCCAGGCTCGTCCACGGGTGGGGAGGGGGTGCTAAGTGACCGAGTCTTCTCACCCCGTGGCTTTCTCTCCTTTTTGCCTCTCCTGTCTCAGTACTCTCTCGTCTACAAGGGTTTCTCTCTGCTCCCTGAAAGCATTTTCTACTGGCAGCTTCCCTAGCCCTTCCTGGGGGATAAGGTAACAGCCCTTGGTGCTGGGGGGGTGGGCTGGGTGGGGGCCGATCCCACATCCTCTGGAGCAGGAGCATCAGGGTCTGGGCTCTGAGGCCTGGGATCTGCCTGTGCCCATCTGGGGGGCGCGATGGCCTCCGTTTGGGGTCTCTGTGGTAGCAGAGTCCTGGATCTCTGGCTGGGCAGCATCCCTGTCGTGCCTCCTCTCCATCCCAGCCCCTCTTGCATTTCCCCTCGTGGGCACGGATGCACTGAAGGAGCACGGGAATCCAGAGCCACGTGTGGGTGCCCGGTGGCACAAAGCTGGCGGCTGGGTACCGGGCCAGCGGTGACAGGGCCTGGCGCACCTGGCACGGCTCACGGTGCTTCCCGTTGGGTTGCAGGTTGGCTCTTATGGTGGACGGCTGCGCTACACCCTCTCCTACAGCTCCGGGGGCAGGGGCACCCCGCTGCCTGATGCCGACGTCCAGATCACGGTAAGCTGGGCTGGGTACTGAAGCCGTAGTTCTCCATACTCCTTTGACACCAAGTGTCTCGATAGCCCGTGTGCCTGGACCACTGCCGAAGCCATGCCCAGGGTCTGCTGCGACAGCTGGATGTCTTTATTCCCTGGGAAGGGCGTTGGAGGGAGGGTGGAGGGGCTGGCACCCAGGATGCAGGGGAAACCTGGAGGGGAGGAGAGGGGAGCCTGGGTCCCATCCCCGGAGCGGGGGCCGGGCTCTGACTGGCCCCTTCTCCCGGGGTGTGCGCAGGGCAACGACATCACACTGGTGGCCTACCAGCCCGACCTGGCGCCGCGGGACCAGAAGAGCTTTGAGATCGTCTTCCGGGAGGTAAGAGGCGAGCGCAGGGTGCAGCTCGGGACGGTCTCAGTGGCCACGTGCCTGCGGCTCTCGGCCTCCCCCGGACAGATCCCAGCAGGGCCCCTGGCTGCCTGGGACGGGCTCACAGCTCCCCATGCAGACCCCGTGCAGGGAGGGGGGTTATGCCCCCCGCTTCCAGGGGCTCCTGCAGTCTGGGCATCCCCATTGCACCAGTCCAGCCAGTCCCCAGCTTGCAGCCAGCATGAACCTGCCCCTCTCCACACAGCAATACTGGAAGCGGCCCGACGGGCAGCCGGCCACGCGGGAGCACCTCATGATGGTGCTGGCCGACCTGGACGAAATCCTCATCCGCGCCACCTACTCCACGGACATGGTGTCGGCCAGCCTCTCCGGCGTCAGCATGGAGACCGCCGTGCCCACCTACACCGCCCTGCCGCGGGCGCCAGAGGTGGAGGAGTGCCACTGCCCGCCGGGGTACCAGGGCCTCTCCTGCCAGGTGAGACTCTCCCTCAGGGCCACCACTGGGTGCGTCTACATGTTCATTAATGCACTTTTGCTACTGTGCATTAAATGCAGTACCTCTAAGGTGAGGTACTAAATAAATGCACATTAGGCTGCCTTAATGCACAGTAGTGCAAGTGCACGCTTTTTTAGTGATGCTGAATGTGCAGTAGCCTATTTTTACTGCACATTAGTATATTAGCACGTTTTTTGACATGACGCTTTAATGCGCAGTAAAATAAGCTACTGCACATTAAGCGCACGTGTAGATGCGCTCCCCGGGGGGCTGATGCCACATCTCTCCCTTGCAGGACTGTGCTCCCGGCTACACCCGGACGGGAGCCGGCCTGTACCTGGGGCACTGCGAGCTGTGCGAGTGCAACAGCCACTCCGACTCCTGCCACCCCGAGACAGGAGCCTGCTCGGTAAGTCACCCTGCGGCCTCGGGCCCCATGGCCAGGGCTGAGAGCGGACACTGCCTGCCCCCTTGCTCCCCAAGGCACTGCCTCCAGGGCCTGACCCTCCTCTCTGCCCACTGATGCTGGAGGAGGGTCCGGGGTGAGGCGCGTGTCCTATGCCATGGCACACTGCTCCCACGTGGGGCCCGTGGCTAGCCCCTGAGCCCTGCGTGGCCTCTCCACAGAGCTGCCTGCACAGCACGGCTGGGGAGTTCTGCGACCAGTGCGCCCCTGGCTTCTACGGCGATGCCACGGCCGGCACCCCCGAGGACTGCCAACCCTGTGCCTGCCCGCTGCCCGACCCTGAGAACCAGTAGGTATCCGGCTGCTCAGAGGAGACCCCGTTCTGCACAGCTCAGGGCAGAGCCAGTGCTGGGATGTGCTGGAGGCTTCCCCACTCAGGGGGCCGGGAACCAGGTCGCCTCCAAACCCCGCTGGGGAGAGCGTGGTGGGCTCAGAGTTCCCGGTGCCCTGGGGTGGGCACGAGCGAGCCGGGCGGTGTTTCCAACCAGCGTTCACACCTCTCTGCCTGGCAGGTTTTCACGGACGTGCGAGAGCCTGGGGGCCGGGGGCTACCGCTGCACGGCCTGTGAGCCCGGCTACACCGGCCAGTACTGCGAGCAGTAAGTGCCTCCCTTGGCTCCCTCCCCCGGCCTAGCAGCCCCCAGGGGACATGGGCACATGCTCCCTGGAGAAATCACAGCTCTCTGGGGCTCTTTTCCATGTCCTGCCCTTACCCGTGCTTTGCTCCCCAACAGGTGCGCGCCAGGCTACGTGGGGAACCCCAATGTGCGCGGGCAGAAGTGCCTGCCTGTGGGTAAGTGCATGCCGCCGAGCTGGCCCGGGAGAGCCCGGGGCACCATAGGCTACCTCAGGCCTCAGCCAGGAGCCACAAGTGAGGCCAGAAGGAAGCCAGGAGGGAGGTCCAGCCCCCTGCCCCCCTCCTGCCCTGCCTGGGGACGAGAGAGCAGCCCCGCCAGGGACAGCAGTGGGATCCAGCCCCTCGCACCCAGCACCCAGGAGGGCAGGTGGACTCGGACATGGTGATGCTCTCCCACAGCAGTGCCCCGCTCTCTCCCCACAGCCCGAGCCCCTCTCGTGGTCCGCATCCACCCCACCAAGACCACGGTAACACAAGGCAGCGAGGTGATCCTGCGCTGCCAGGCCAGCGGGAACCCACCCTACAACTACTACTGGTCCCGCGAGGACGGGCAACCCCTTCCCAGCTCTGCCCAGAGCAAGCGGCAAGGTAATGGCTCAACACAGGCGGCATGATGGTCCCGTGGGGCTCCGCGGCCCCCGGGCATCCTGCTTCCAGCACCTGGCAGCTGCTCTGGGGTGGGGGCTGCCAGCGGCTTGTACAAGTGTCGCCCGCAGTGCCAGTCTCTGGGCCTGAGTGCAGATGGACCCATTCACCTCCCTCCCCACTCTGGCCTGGGGGCATGCTGGCCCGATGCTGCTGGAAAGGGGCATGTAGGAGCCACGGGGTTTGGCAAGGCCAGGAGCACCCAGCTGCAGCTCTCGACTGCATTGCCTGTACCACAGCAGCCCTGGGCACCTGGCCCTTCCCTGGGGGGTCCTCAGGGGTCCCTCTCCAGGCCCTGACCCAGACTGAGCCGGCCTGACGTGACCCAGGGCTGTGCCCTTCATCCCCTTCCCAGGCGAGGAGCTCCACTTCCCCAGCATCCAGCCCTCCGAGGCCGGCGTCTACCTCTGCACCTGCCGCAACTTGCAGCACAGCAACACCAGCCGGGCAGAGGTCGTTGTCAAGGGTAAGCAGTCCGGTACCCATCAGAGCGTGAGGACAGGTCCCAGTGCCAGGAACGGCCCAGTGCCCAGGGCTCGGGCTGGCAGTGTCCCCCTCCCACCCAGGCAGACAGGGAGGAGCATCTGGGAGGGTCCCTGGAGCAGGATGGAGGGTCTCCAGGGACAGAAGGCGCCAGTGGAGAGCAGTGATGGTGTTAGAGTCGAACCCCATCCCCTTCACCCACCCTTCAGGTCCTGAGCCATGAGACGGGCTCCTGTGGGCATGGTCCAGAGAGCAGGCAGGGAAAAACCAAGCAGAAAGCTTTAATGTGTCCTTTCCCCCCTCAAGAGGCCCTGAGCAAACCCATCACTGTGACCGTGGAAGAGAAGAGGGTCCAAAGGGTGAAGCCTGGAGCCGACGTCACCTTCATCTGCACGGCCAAGAGCAAGGTGAGGGCTGGGCCGCGCCGGGGGAGCACGGTGCAATGCGAGGGGGTGGCGGGGGATAGCGTGCCAAGTCTAGGATGGCATTAGCTGCCATCCTGAGGGTCCCCAGCTGCAAGCAGGGCCCCAGGAGAGCAGTCCCCCGTGGCTGGGCATTGCCAGCTCCTCCGTGCCTTGGTCTGGGCTCAGTACCCAGACCCACCAGCTGCACGTCTGTGTGCCCGTCAAAGGCAGCCTCCCTGGCGTGCCGACGATGGGCCTCCCCGAGGGTGGGGTAGGCATGGCTGACCCCCCTCACTGCGGTGCCTCTGCAGTCCCCGGCCTACACGCTGGTGTGGACACGCCAGAACAACGGCAAGCTGCCCAGCCGTGCCATGGACTTCAACGGCATCCTCACCATCCGCAACGTGCAGCCCGAGGACGCCGGCATCTACGTCTGCACCGGCTCCAACATGCTCGACATGGATGAGGGCACGGCCACCCTCTACGTGCAAGGTGTGTGCGGCGTTCTTGGCCCCGAGCCCTCCGGGCACACGCACCCTTGGGCACCATGGGGAGCTGGCTCTTGGGGTCCTGCTTCTGCCAGAGGGGTGCCTTTTATACACAGGAGATGTTGGAAGGCAGAGAAAGCTCTGCCGCTCATGTCCTGAAATCCCTGGTCCCTTCCAGCTCCAGCCAGCCTCCCCTCTACCCTGCAGTGGCATAGGAGCCATGCCCCTAATGTTGAGTCTAGTTCCCAGGATGGGCCGGACATGACGTGCCAGCTCTGCCCTTGCTGGCTTGGCTTGCAACAGGAAAGCTTCAGGGGGTGCCGTGCGGAGGAGGCAGCGGTCAGGGAGCTGCTCCTCGTGCCACCTGAGACCCCCCTCTCCGTCCAGATGAATCAAACCAGGCGGTGTTAGCCAGGGATGAGGTGTGACAAGGGTCCCAGACAAGTGCCCTTGGCAGTCGTGGCAGAGGGGCAGGGACTCAGCAGAGCTGGCTTCTACTGCTGGCTCTGCCACGGGCTGTGGGTGACCACGGGCAAGTTGCTCCCCTGCGGTGCCTCCGTTTCCCCATCAGGAGAACGCTTCTTCCCACCCTCCCTGCACTCAGCGGTGCTTGTGAGCAGCCCAGGCCACGCATGACAGTCCACACTCAAACTCAGTCACCTCTCTGCTCCCCGAGCTGCTTTGCAAGAAAGGCACAAAAGAGGCGATGCCTTTCTCCTTTCTCGTGGCCCCGTGGCGGACGTGGATGCATGAAGTCCTCCAGCTGCTCCCCCGCAACACCTGGGCCCGGGCACCAGCTGGCTCAGCCGTGCACACGGGTGGAGCAGAGGGGCTGGGTTGCAGCTGGCGTTCTCGAGCCCCCTTCTCGCGAGCAGGCAGGCAGGAAAGGCAGGCTCAGAGCAGGGAGGCACGGGGCCTGGGTGGAGGCTGAAGGCAGCGCCCACGCGGCCTGCCATTGAACACGACGACTTGTTCGCAGCCCCTTCTAAGACCCAGATGTTTTTTGGACCCGTCGAAGTTGTGGAAGGCCACAGACCCTGTAAGTTGGCATGCTGTGTGCCAGTCTCCATCTCCACTGCATGCATGCCAGCCCCCGGCCCGGAGCACTCTCACGGTCTCGCTCTTGCTCTCGGGTGCCTTCCAGCATGGCAGGGGGGCATCGCTGCTCTCTGTCCCGCCAGGACAGCATTGGAGGGCCTGAGCCCCTGGGCAGGGAGCAGGTGGGAGTGCTGAGGTGTCCTGGGCTCTGACCGCTGGCACGGTCCAGCCTGGTGCTCTGAGCGGTGTCTTTGCTCTGTGTCTCTGCGTGCCACATGGGAGCGACGCTGCGTCCTGTCCTTGCCTCTCGCCCTGTCTCTGGTGGGGTTCATTCCTGTCCCATGCCAGCCCCCCAGAGCAGTGGGTTCATCACCAGCCACGGGGTCTGAGACCCTCCCTGCACCTCCTTCCCACCGGGATCTGCCACGGGACAGGGAGCCGTCGGGGTGTGGACTGTACCCCTGATCCTCCGCCTGCCAGCCACAGCCCTACAGATCATGTGTGGTGGCTGCTTCTCTCCATCTCCTCTGCTTCTAGCAGGAGGGATCCCCACAGGGCGAGTGTGACCACCCCATGGCTGTTGGGGCTGGGGCTAGCACCATCAAGGGAGGGGGTCATTGCCAGCACCCTTGTCTTCCCGCTGCAGCAGCCGTCACCATGCATGCTTGTGTATGCATGTCCGTGTGCCCCTTCCTGGGGCATGGGCGATATACGGGGACGTGGCCACACTTATGTCCACCCCAGGGCAGCATAGAGTGGGTATTTATGTGGGTCCCAAACATTTCTCTGGCCTTGCTTCTCACCCCAGCCAGTGCCAGGCCCATCTCTTCCACCTGGGAGCAGGAAGGCGGCTAGTGGCACCCCATGTCCCTATCCTGGGAGGGCCGTGACGCTGTGGAGCAGCGCCTGCAGCTGCCCTCTCCCATCCCCGCTCCAAATCCCACTCGTGGGGATCCCTCCCACCCAAACTGGGGTCGTCCCCATGCCTGCCCAGGGCTCTTGGACCAGGCAGGGGGTCCTGCTGCCTTCAGGGGCTCCTTAGCCACCAGCCCCAGGTGAGGAGCAGCACCGGTGAATGGGGTCTGAGGGTCCCCAGCCCTCCCTGCAGTGGGGCTGGGACTCTGCTGCTCCAAGGCTCGGGGCCCGTTTAGCTCTGGAGGGAAGTTGCTGCTTCCCAGGGCCCCTCCTGACCCTGGTGCCCCATGGCCTGACCTAACCTGCTCTCCGTCTCGCCCTAGCCACGCATGCCAGCGCGCCCACGGCCACCATCGAGCCGGCACAGCTCACCGTGCAGCCGGGCCAGCCGGCCGAGTTCCACTGCGTGGCTACCGGGAACCCCCCACCCACCCTGGAGTGGATCGGTATGTGGCCGGCACCAGTTGGGAGGGATTGGGGATGGGCTGGGGGGCGCGGAGCCAGGCTGCTGCCTTCCCAGTCTGTCCCAGTCCCTCCGGCTCCTTGGAGACCCTGGGGGCGGCACCATGCCCGTGGCAGCGAGGCTCTCTGACCGCGGCGCTGTCCCTCCCTCCTGCAGGTGGGCAGAACGGTGTCCTGTCCCCCCGAGCCGTGGTGCGGGGTGGGGTGCTGCGCTTCCCGGCCGTGGAGCCCTCCGACGAGTCGCACTATCTGTGCCGCGTGCGCAACAGCGCCGGGCAGCACGTGGCCCGTGCCATCCTCCAAGTGCACAGTACGTCCCGGGCCGGCAGTGGGGGGAAGGCGGGGGGTGGGCCAAGCCCGGTGCTGGAGGCACCACTCGACCTTAGAAGCCACAGCTGGATCCCAGGAGCGTCCTCTGGGGATGAGCATCTAACAGAGCCCATGGCTTGGTCTGAAATGATGCTTGATCGCCTACAACACGCCCCTGGTTTTGCAGGGGAGCAGGAACAGGGGTCTTCCTGCAGGGAAGGGGGCTGGCTCTTGGACAGTCTTGTGGGGAGCAGAGTAGCTGTGAGCCCTGCCAGGGGAGCCAGGGCTGGTAGCCTGCACGCCCCCTCACCTCCTGTCCCGCTTTGAGCCCCGTGTCGGGGGGCTGGGCTGAGTGGGACCTCGGCTCTGACCCGCCGGACACGGCTTTGGCAGGTGCCAGCGTCCCGCAGGTGCAGGTGAGCCCGGAGCGGATGGAGGTGCAGGAGGGCAGCACCGTGCGACTCTACTGCAGGGCCGCCGGCTCCCCCACCGCCACCATCTCCTGGGAGAAGCAAGGGGGTAGCTTGCCACCCCAGGTAAGGCGCCGGGGTCTGTGTGCTGGGGCAATTGCAGGGGCGGGGGCAGCAGTAGACAGGGGGTGGGTATGGGAGAGGGGCTGGAAGTGCTGTGGAGCCCCGGAGCTGCCTCCAAGAGCCCGTGGGTGCAGACACGTTCCCCTGGGACTAAGCAGTCTGACCCTGGAGTAAAATCCGGGATAATGTTCCTCTTTGACAAGCAGTGCACACAGATGGTACCTCCAAGCCTGGCTAATAGGGGCAGGGGAGCTAGTTTCCATTAAGTCAGTGGTTCCTCTCCGTGAAGCTGTGCATGTACGTAATATTTGACTCCATCCCAGGGAAGGCTCGGGACAGCTACAGCAAGAGGACACAGCAACTTGTAGGCGCTGTGTGTCCCGTGGCCGGTGCCACGGAAGGGGGCATGCCCACGCTCCGCTCTCACCTGTGCCATCCCCCAGGACTCTGGCAAGGCCTTGGCCAGGCGCGAGCTGGGGAGACCCTAGAGATACATTTGTGCTCTCGGTCTGGACAGCTCTGGGGTTTGGGGTGTCGGGGCCCAGGGGATGCCCTGAGAGCGGGGTCCCCAGGCCCAGGCTGGAGCCCTGCGGGACACCTGTGGAAGGGGTCAGCTCAGCCCTCACCAGTCCGGAGCCCACATCCCCCCGCTCGTGGGCAGACACCAGCGGTGTGCAGGGGTCACCCCCCCCAGGACCGGGGCCCAGCTGGGCAGGGCCTTTCCCCTGCGCTGGGGCTGCTGCGCCGGCACAGTCCAGGCTGGTTTGGTTCTCAGTCCGAGAGCGAGAGACCAGTGCGGTGCCCTGGGCGCCTTTTCCCCGGCCCGTGATCCCTAGGACACGTCCCCCATGGGAACATACAGGGGTATGCATGCACACAAACATGCACACGCACACGAACACCGCCGTGCACGCACACACACGATCGCTGTCCCTTCCTCTCTCTGACTGCTGTCCCTCTCGGTCCGTCTCTTCCTTCCCACACTCCTCCTCTCCTCTCCTGTCTCTCCGCCGGCCTCTCTCTGCTGCCAGGCTCTTTCTGCCTACGGTTTCCTCCACTTCAAAAGCTCCAGCCTGGAGGAAATCTACCAGCGGATCCTGGAGCTCCGGCAGGTAGCTCGCATGCCCTACCTGCTGCTTCGCCTGGCTGGGCTGGCACGGCAGCCCTGCTCCCTCCTGCTGTCTCTGTCTGGTGTCTCTGTCCCCCTCGGCTCCAGGGCTCTGCGGGTCACGGTGCAGCCCCGCGCGGGGAGATCTGGGGGTGCAGCCGAGCTCTAGGATACAGCACAGGGCTCCCTAGCCAGGAGCTCGCGGGCACAGCCCTGGGTGCGTGCCGGCCCTCTCTGGGTGACCCCATCCAAATCTGTGCAACCCCGGTCCCAGGGGACCAAGCCGGGGTGCACGGCCTCGCTTCCCGGAGACTCCCAGCTCACACAAACCGGTCAGTAGTCACCAAGGTGGCAGCCCCAGCTCTCCTTCCTTCTCTTCGTGGTGTCCCGTGCCCCTGTGTTGATGGCACCCCGCAGTGCCCCCCGCTTACTGTGTGTCTGCATGTGGCCCCGGGACCTCTGATCCTCACGGCCCTTTCCTGTGTCCGCAGTCGCGCTCGGAGAGGACCGACATCGCCACCCTGGTCATCCCCTCCATCACGGTCACTGACGGCGGCGTGTACCTGTGTGTCGGGACCAGTGCGGCCGGCGTGGCCCGGGCCAGGATCGAGGTGATCGTACGAGGTAAGGGGTGCGAGGAGGCCTGCCTTGCTAGCAGCCAGGCAGGTGCCCCCTGCAAGACACCCCGCACTGTGCCGTGTTGCCCCCAGCATGCACCTCCCTCCAGACCCTGCCTAAATGGGGCTGCCCCTGTCAATGCCTGCAGCATTAACCATCGTTCCCCCTATGCCTGAGCATCCTTGGCCGTGGCTGGCCCCCCTGCTCTGTCAGAGCAGAGGGATGCCCAGATGTTTCCCATCACGGCTCCCCGTGCCCTGCTGACCTCAGCCCTGGGTCGAGCAAAGCCAAAAGTACCCATATGGCGGCTTTGCGGTGCCTCTGGATGGGTCTGCTGAGACCCGAGGCACGGGCTTTGGGTCCCCTGATGGGTTGAGCACAGCCCGGTCTGAAGGGGCTGCATACACACGTTCAGCGGGCAATCTGGGCATCTGCCCCTGCACAAGTAAAACCCAGCGGCACAAGGGGCACGTCCAGTCTGGCCGCGCCTTGGACAGATGTCAGGGTCTGAATGCGCAGGCCAGGCTGCTCCAGTCATCGGTGCACCACGCACCAGCCTGTGACCACGCTCCTCGGGGGTTGTTGCAGCAGCACGGCACGCTGCATGCTGAGAAGACCCCTTGCTACAAAGCCACAAGCTCTTTGGAGTAGTGACTGCCTTTTGCAGCAGCTCACAGGCCTTGCTACAGGCTGCTCCTTGCTGATCCTGGAGCTCCTCGGTAGCTCAGGGAGTGCCGGCTGCACCATGCTCCCAGTGCAGCCCACGGCCAGGCTGTAAATGCCCTTGCGGGTCCCAGAGCCATGCCATGCTATGCCCCTCTCTCGGCCCTTCCAGCCTCAGGGGCTGTGTCCCCCATCCGCATCGAGACATCGGCATCGCCATCGTCCATGGTCGTAGGGCAGACCTTGGATCTGGACTGCGTCGTGGCTGGGCACTCGCAAGCCGTGGTCCTCTGGTACAAGCGGGGAGGTGCCCTCCCAGCCAGGCACCAGGTACGGAGACCCACAGGGCCGCGGGGATGTCGGGGAGCCAGCCCAGGGCACTGGGGGGGTTGCCTTGGGGGCTCTAGTTCCCCAGGCTGCCCAGGGGAGGGTGAGGAGACCATGTCCATCCCTGCAGGCCACAGGGACCCTGCTGGTCAGTGGATCCCAGGTAGACGTCTCTGGGCCATGCAGCGCAGGGGCACAGCGGGCCTGTGGGGACCCATCCCCGGTTTCTCCCCATCCCTCACGATCTCTCTCTCCCGGCTCGTGGCCCCCCCCCAGGTCCTCGGCTCCCGCCTGCACATCCCCCAGATCTCGGCGGCTGACTCTGGTGAATACGTCTGCCGCATCAGCAACGGCGCTGGGCCCAAGGAGGCCTCCATCGTCATCACCGTGCAAGGTGCTGGAGCCGTGCAGGAGGGTAAGCAGGAGCTCGGGACACCCCGGTGGGGACATGCTTGCAAGGAACAAGGCTGGCCCCGAGGAGCTGGGGAGCGGCTTTCCCCTCCACACCCTGCGCCAGCCACGAGCCAGCCCCGCTGGCGCTGCCCTCGGGGCAAGGCATCGCTGCTGCTTTGCAAACGCCCCGAGAGGCCTCGTCATCTGCTGGGCTCGTCGGGGTGGGCGTGCTCTGAGCCACGACACATCCCTCGGCCCTTCCAGCTTCTTCCATGAGCATCGAGTCTTCGTCGCCGGCCGTGGCGGAGGGACAGACCCTGGACCTGAACTGCCTCGTGGCAGGCCAGTCGCACCCCAGCGTCACGTGGCACAAGCGCGGGGGCTCTCTGGCCGCCCGACACCAGGTACGCGGGCCGCGGCTGTGGCGCGGGAGGAGCTGGGTGACACTCCAGCACTCAACTCCCCTGCCCCTGGGTGAATGCAGACCGAGCCACGCTCGTGTAGGTGCCTTGGGAGCCCCCTCCCCTCCCTCTGTGCGCGGGACAGATCGCCCCCTCGCCTCATCATGGGCCGTCACGCATGGGGCGAGTGAAGTGTCGGGGCGTAGAGTCCCGTCTGCCGTACCAGAGGGAGAAGCGAGGCGGGAGGCTCTTGTGCCAGGCTCTCTGCAGACTCAGGCAGGCGGCTCTTCATCTCTGACACTCAGATCGCTCTATCAAGGGTTTCTTTGCCGCTCGAAGAGCTGGCGACTATGACAGCGATGCTGGAGAGCCGTCACGAGGCCTGGCTGCGCCACCCCGGCCTTCCCCTCTGGGTCTTTGCCCCATGCATCGGGGACACGGCCTCCCGGCCTGGCTGGGTGCTGCTGGGAAGTCCCAGCCTCTCCCCCTCACCCGTTCCTTTCGTCTCTCCCCCGTTTCCCACGCAGGTCTCCGGCTCTCGCCTGCGGCTAGTGCAGGTCTCCGAGGCCGACTCGGGCGAGTACGTCTGCAGCCTCAGGACTGGGGACACCGTTCAAGAGGCCTCCATCTTCGTCACCGTGGCCCGTGCCACTGACAGCTCCCACCGTAAGTGCCAGCGCTGCCTGGGAAGGTCTGGCCCGAGACAGCAGCAGACCCAAAGCCCTCCCTGGGTCAGCGCAGTCCTCACCAGTCCTCACAATCCAGGAGAGGCCCCCGGCTCTGAGCATCTTCCCCTGTCGTGTGTCCTAGCCTCGAGCATCACACCCCCCATTCGGATCGAGTCTTCCTCGGCTCCCGTCACCGAAGGACAGACCTTGGACCTGAACTGCGTCATTGCAGAGCACCCGCAAGCCCCGGTCAAGTGGTACAAGCGCGGGGGCTCCCTCCCGGCCAAGCACCAGGTACGCGGTAGTGCGGAGAGCGTGCCTGGAGACGGGATGTGGGCTGCAGCGTGTCTGGTGCTTTCGCTCCCCTTGGGTATCTGCAGCCGTTATAAGTGGGGAATCGGTGCACAGCTCAAAGGGGCAATGCCCAACTGCTCGCAGTGTTGCAGCGGTGCTGCTCATGCAGAAAAGTCACACCGGTCACCATTGCCGCCCCAGCCAGCGCAGTGCTTCCCTTTGGGCCCTGGCAAGGCGTCTTTCCCATCGGCAGCGGTGGCCCCTCGGGGTAGCTCTGCCACCCCACCGGTGACGGGACGGCTGGGGAGAGCAGCAGGTCTGAGCAGGGCGGCTGCTTCGAGGAGCGGCAGCAGAGCCTGGCGTGGACGTGGTGGGATAGTCCTCGCCTCTAACCGGCCCCGGCTCCTTTCCCTGCAGGTCTTCGGCTCCCGCTAGCGCATCCCGCAGGTCACCGAGGCCGACTCGGGCGAGTACGTCTGCCGCAGCAGCACCGGCACCCAGGTCCAGGAGGCCTCCGTCATCGTCACTATACAGGCCATCACCAGCCCCTCGTGTATGTGTAGCATGCAGAAACCCGCTGATGGGCTTCCAAGGTCCAGGGCTTTGCACACAGGGTCCCATGTTTCCTACCCTCCACGGGGTATGCTGTCCCATAACCCCAAGCTGCCCCCACCTACCAGGGGTAATGGGCTCTGGTGAGCGGCCTGGAGACGCAGCCTCCCTCTTGTATGAGCAGCTGAGGCTCACGCTCCAGGGCAGACACGTGGACCCCATAACAAGGGCTTTCAGGCAGGTGGGAAGGCGAAGTCCACCTCCCCGGTGCTCCCCTGCTGCCCGGTGATGGCTGCTGCCCATGACGGCTCCCCTTGCCTGCAGTCAGGGACGTGGTCCCTGGGATCTGGTCGGGGTGAGCTGCTGTGACACCCCGCAGCAGCTTTCAGAGATGAATGGGGGTTGGAAATATCTCCTGACTGGGGCAGGACCAGCCTGTGGATAAAATCCTGCAGGACGTGACGGAAAGCCCGTTGCTTGGGAGGGGAAACACTAAGCCAACGCAGAGCTGGGGCAGAGCACGGTGGGATCTCGTGGACCGTCTCCATCTCCTCCTGGCCTTGTGTGTGATGTGCCCCGAGACCCTGCTGCGGCTGCATCCGGCACCTGACCCCCTCGTTTCTCCCAGCCTCAGGCATCACGCACCCCATCAGGATCGAGTCTTCGTCCTCCCACGTCACCGAAGGACAGACCTTGGACCTGAACTGTGCTGTGGATGGCCAGGTGTCAGCCCAGGTCACGTGGTACAAGCGTGGGGGTCCCCTCCCAGCCAGGCACCAGGTACAGTAGCCCGAGCAGGGAGCGGGAGGTTTTCCACTTGCCATGGGCTTGAAGGAAGCCTAGCCACAAAGTGCTGGTGTGAAACCACCCCGTGACATGCGGGGATGAGCCAGGGCTGAGGAGGGAGCGCAGAGCCGCCCCGTCCTGCTCGGAGGGGACGCTGCAGGATCACACGCGCAGGCACTTCCCAGGCCGTCTCCCCCAACCACCGCTCGCCTCCGCTCCCAGGTCTCCGGCTCCCGCCTGCGGCTGGTCCAGGTCACGCCGGCCGACTCGGGCGAGTACGTCTGCCGCGTCAGCACCGGCAGCGCCACCAAGGAGACGTCCGTCCTTGTCACCATCCAGCACAGCGGTGCCGTGTCCCACCGTGAGTCGGGGCCACGCGGGGCTGCCGCGCTGTCCGGTGCTCAAGGGTCCGTGGTGGGGCACGACAGCCGTGTCCCTGCCTGGGGCTCCCGTCCCAGGGTGCGCGGAGCCCGTGGTGGGAGTTAGTGGGAGGGATGGGCGGGATGTGAACGCAAACCCCGGGAAGGCTCCCAGAGAGTGAGGGGCTCGGGGTATCTGAGACTGAACAAGCCACAGCCAAGGTCCTGGGAGCGGCCTGAAACGATGGGTCTGGGCTAGTCTCCAGGGGATGGGTGGGCAGGCAGCTGGCAAAACTGCCCTCCATAAAACGCCCACGATGCTGCGAAGCTGCAGCCTGCGCCATCCACTGTAACCTGCCCCTTTGGGCTCCGCAGCCTCAAGCATCACCCCTCCCGTGAGGATTGAGTCGTCATCATCCTCCGTGGCCGAAGGGCAGAGCTTGGACCTGAACTGCGTGGTGGCCGGGCAGTCCTCGCCCCAGGTCACCTGGTACAAGCGCGGGGACTCCCTGCCCGCCAGGCACCAGGTAGGGAAGCCAGGGCAGGACCCCGGGGGTGGCAAGAAGGGAAGGGGGAGGCTCTCCTTGCATTGCCTGGGCCCCGACAGCAGCTCAGACACATGCTTATACTCTGGAAACGGCTGCAAAGACCCTGCGTCTGCTCCCGTGGGGATGAGCTGCTACAGCCACAGAAGTTGGGCAGCCTCCCTCAACTGGCGTGGCCTGATCTGTGATGGAGAGTCCTCGTGGCAGGACCCACAGTGCAGGCATAGGGCAGAAAGCTGATTCCCCTGCCCCTGGGAGGCAGCTGTGGTGGGTGGCAAGGGGAAGACAGGATCAGCATGCCTGCTGGGTACAGGCTGAGGCCAGAGCCAGGCATCCCCCAGGTCGTCTCAGGGAACGGTGTGGGTCAGACCCATGTTAGACACTGAAACCACAGCCCCGGGAGGGAGCACTGGGCAGCTCTGGGTTGAGGGAGCCCGGAGCCGCCCCGTCCTGCTCAGAGGGGGACGTCAGAGGGGACGCTGCGGGATCACACGCGCAAGCACTGCCCGGGCCATCTCCCCCCAACCACTGTCCACCTCCGCCCCCAGATCTCCGGCTCCCGCCTGCGGCTGGTCCAGGTCACGCCGGCCGACTCGGGCGAGTACGTCTGCCGCGTCAGCACCAGCAGCGCCACCAAGGAAACGTCCGTCCTCGTCACCATCCAGCACAGCGATGCCGTGTCCCACTGTGAGTCGGGGCCAAGCGGGGCTGCCGTGCTGTCTGGTGCTCAGGGGTCCGTGGTGGGGCACGACAGCCGTGTCCCTGCCTGGGGCTCCCGTCCCCGGGTGCACGGAGGCCGTGGCGGGAGTTACTGGGAGGGATGGGTGGGATGTGAGTGCAAACCCAGGGAAGGCTCCCGGAGAGTGAGGGGCTGAACAAACCACAGCCAAGGTCCTGAGAGCATCCCGAAATGATCGGTCTGTGCAAGTCTCCAGGAGAGGGGCAGGTTGACAGCCAGCAAAGCATTGGCAATGCCGGCGATGCTGCAAAGCTGCAGCCTGTGCCACCTGCCGTAACCTGCCCCTTTTGGCTCCGCAGCCTCCAGCGTCACCCCTCCTGTGAGGATCGAGTCATCGTCGTCCTCCGTGGCTGAAGGGCAGAGCTTGGACCTGAACTGCGTGGTGGCCGGCGAGTCCTCGGCCCAGGTCACCTGGTACAAGCGCGGGGACTCCCTGCCCGCCAGGCACCAGGTAGGGAAGCCAGGGCAGGGATGGGGGGGTCTCCCTGCATTGCCGTGGGGCTGGAGGGAGCTCTGCTATTCTGCTGGAGTTTGAAGCCCACTCTCCTCTTCTCACTCGTTTCTGGGAGAGCTGGTGTGTGTCCGGGGCCAAGGCAGGCTCTGCTCTGGTGGGGGTGGGCTGGGCAGTGGGGCCGAGTCCCCAGGGCAGCATCCACAGTCAAAAAGCAGAGAGGTCCTTAGCTGTGTCATTCAGGAGCCAGGCACAAGGCACTAACCAAATCAGCAATGCACGAGCTTTGGGGAGCCACAGCTTGTGCCTCTCTGCGTTCAGTTAGCCTATAAGGTACAGCTCCCCCTTTGCCAGTCAGAGAACAGTGCGGGGAGCTGATTTCCCATCCTGCAAGAGGTCCACGGAGCAGAAGGGTCTGGGGCTGGAGATAGCGAATGCGCTGGAGAGCGCGTCCTGCTGTGCTCAGGCCATGGTGGGGTCCCGGGGAGCTGTGGAGCCCGAGCTGGGGGCTTGGGGAGAGCTGCAGGGTGGAGGAAAGGAGGAATCCCCAGAGCCCAGGATGCTACAGGGGCTGTGTCCAGCACTGTCCCGACTTCCCGTCTCCCACCTCCTGTCTCCCCGTGGCTCTCCCCAGATCTCTGGCTCCCGCCTGCGGCTGGTCCAGGTCACACCGGCCGACTCGGGCGAGTACGTCTGCCGCTTCAGCACCGGCAGCATCACCAAGAAGACTTCCGTCATCGTCACCATCCAACCTAAGGACGCCTCCTCCTACCGTGAGTCTGGGGGCTGGGGTGCTTCCCCTTTGCAAGTTCGGAGCCCCTCTGGAGGGGCCTACAGCAGCTCTCTGCTGGGGTTCACGATGGGACACGCTGGCTGTTAGAGGTCTTGAAGCCTCTCCAGGTGCCTCTGCCCAAGGGGAGATCAGTGCTCCTGGGACGGGGACCGCTGAAAGGGAAGACTCCCTAAGAGGCAGGTCTATGGAGAGGGCGAGGAGCTCTCGGGGACTGGCTGAGGCTCTGAATGAGCTCAAGCAAAGCTCAAGGGAGCTACCTGGAGCTCTTGGTCTGGCCCTGACCCCGGTGGGACAAGCGGCTCAAGGGACAGCACTGCTCCATCCATCATGGTGCTGTAAAGCAGCAGAACGTGCCCCATCGTAACCTCCTCTCTCGCAGCGCCCCCAGCCGTGGCCGTCACGCCGCCTGTGAGGATCGAGTCATCGTCGTCCTCCGTGGCCGAAGGGCAGAGCTTGGACCTGAACTGCGTGGTGGCCCGGCAGTCCTCGGCCCAGGTCACCTGGTACAAGCGTGGGGACTCCCTGCCCGCCAGGCACCAGGTAGGGAAGCCAGGGCAGGGCTGGGGGGGTCTCCCTGCATTGCCGTGGGCATGAGGGGGTCGTGCTGTGCTCAGAGGCAGCACGGGTGATTCCTCATTGCACGCGAGACGTAGGGAATGGCAGCATCCAGGGCTGAGGGTAATTAGCAGGCGGTGGAGGAGTTGCCACTCTGCCCGTTGTGCCATCGCTCCTCTCTCCATGCCTCTACCAGATCTCCGGCTCCCGCCTGCGGCTGGTC